AATCCTTTGGACTATTGTGTCTGGAGTATTTTGGAAAGCAAGTTTGGCACTAAGAAATACAAAACTGTCGATCACCTCAAGCAAGCGGTTCGCAGGGAATGGGCCAAAATACCACAGAGCAACATTTGAGCAGCGTGTGACGGTTTCATTGGCCGTTTGAAGGCCATTATTCGTGCCAAAGGTGACCAATTCGAACTTATCAAAACTTATTCTAAAATTTGATGCTGTTTCCGACATTTTTTTGCTTTCATTCAATAAAATTAAAAAAAATTAAAATTTTGGCATTTGACTTTGTTTCAGTTTTTTTTTTCTCACCCTGTACACACATCACAATATTTTTATTAACCAATCCAATCCTTTTGGTACTACCCCCACAAAGGGTCAACGTTTTGAATAACCAAAACGATTATAAAATCCAAAGTAATCATCCGGCTCTCTTCATATGTCACACATCCTATTATTTCTAGTAACACACGATATGCTTTGAAGATGGAATATATCGGTCCACTTCTTCTGGTACCTCCCGCACAAAGGTTCAAAATTTTGAATACCCATGAAGCTCATAAAACGCGAAATTAACATCTGATTCCATTCACACTTGATTACACCTATTTTATATAAAGTGAAGGAAGTAGTCGATATAGTCATAACCAGGCACATCACAATATTTATATCATATTTATTTAGGTCCGATACGAAATTGGCAATAATGGTCCATTCCTTCGTCACCTTCTCCATAGAGGGCCTAAAATTTCAATAATAATTACAAAAGTCAAGGTATATTTTAGTAATCAAACATTGGCTGAGGTTATAGATGCGTCGGTAAAACCGAAAGGTACTTTTTAACTTGCTTTTTTGTAACAAAATCCTGCAAGATCTTTTAATATCGCATATAGGCCAATGTAATTGCGAGGTGTGAGATAAAGTGGAATTTTTTGAATTTCATACTACAAGGAATAATAGAGTACAAAACATTTTACCGTTTGACTGTCGCATATCTCATATAAATGCCCACAAATTCAACTCGCTAAACAACTACCGTAGCGTTACAAGGATATATGGATGTATTTGTGTGTCTATGTGTGTGTGATCAACCAATCGTTACATGACAGAGTCCATTGATTGTTTAAAACTTATTACACGACGACTGAAGACTGAACATTCAATCCAATTTGCCGTTAGTACCGGCCATTACCAAATCCTGAGGTAAATTGATTGAACAAGTGAAGTGGAATGGTTAGCCAGTAGAGATTTCACATCGAGATATGGACAAACAAAAATTGACACTGTCAACGTAAAATAATAACTTTGCACTGACATTTTCCCGAAGGACCAAAATACATTTCCATGAAAGGATACTGTTCCACTCAACCTCAACCTAATGCAATTTGAGTTACCCTTCCAAATTGTCATCTCTGCAGCAGCATTGTCAGTAGCATTCAACTTTCAAATCATTGAACACACACACACACACTCATTCAGAACGTGGACAAGGGTTGAAATAACCACAATCGGCATTGAATGCATTCGCTTGCAAGTGAACATGCCAGTTGCTAATGCGTAAACAAATTAACAATTTTACGCTTCTTCTGAATGGGTCGAACGCAACGAAGAGAAGGATTATGCTGGAGCATGGCAACAGCAACAACACCAGCACAGTTAATAAAATAACTTAAATGGCATTCATTTGAAGGCAGGAGCAAATGTATGCAGGACTTCCAATTGAATTGCTCTATTTATTGGAAACCCGTGGCAAATTGCATGGTTTTCCTAAAAGCGATCTAAGCATGCGTCATAGTTTAGTTATCGGTTAACTAAGATTCATAAATTGTGAAGCAATGATATTGTGTATGTGGTCAATCCGCATCATTTATGTTTGAATTTTAAAATATTTAATGCAGAGTTTTGAAATATGTAACAGATTCATATTAGTTTTAGCTATTTCCAGGAGGATTCGTGTATTATATAATTATTTATAAAATAGTACTCAAAGCTAATTTATCTATGGTTGTATCAAAGGGATTTCCAATAAGAAGTGCTATTTTTAATTACCCAGTCGCCGATATTTGACAAGAAGAAACTGAAGAGGAAGTTTTTAATGAAAAAATACTACTCCCACTTTATTGCTCGTTTCTGATGTTTTCTGGAATGGAGATAGAAATTTGATGTGATGCTGTTGGAGGATATCGATAAATGATGCGGTTTTGGAAGGGTATGCTAGAAATGTCAAATATTACTAAATTAGGAACTGCCTGAACTGTTATATCAAAGGTTTGTGCAGGGTAATGCTTACCTCATATCTGATTTGAATGATAATTAGTTTTATCCTTCCGCTGAGCGAATGGATATGTATACGATTCCACAACGCTGGGGAATATTGCGACAATACTTGGAAAATCAAGGCAACTTTGCAGAATATGTGCGGAGATTGTGTACGGATATTGTGCATTTTCGCACCTGACCTAGCACTGATAAAAAATTTGGGATTTGCAAAAGTTTGCACAAAATCATCCTTTCTAAAGGGTGAGATAAAAAACTACAAAAATAGTGGTATTCTGACCTATTCCCGGCGAAGCGCTTGCTTGAGGTGATCGACACTTTGGTATTTTTAGTGCCAACCTTACTTTCCAAAATACTCCAGACAGAAAAGTCCAACGGATTGGTATCCGCAGATTTTGGGGGCCTTTGTGCGCTGGAAATGAAGCAAGGAACCTCATTTTGTAACCATTCTTGGGTGACACGAGCTGAGTGCGATGGTGCTGAGTCTTGAGTCTATTCTCTTAAGAGACCTATGACAAATACATTGCTACCATCCCGTTAAAGGGAGTTTTAACCATATTTTTAAAAAAGGGCCAAAAAGACAACTTTGGTGACTAGCTTCAAGTTAAAAATTGCCAGAGATTTTGGTGGCCATGTGCGCTGGAAATGGAGCGAGAATGTTTTCGCGATAATATTCGGTGTTTATTCTGATGCCACGGTCGATAAATACGAGCGGAGAGCAACCATCGTCTGTTACGGCGGCCCACACCATCAACATTGCCGGCGCTTGAGTTCTGGTGGCCAACCGAAGGTGCATATTTTCACCTGACCTCTTTGGCAAGTAAACACGATCATTTTGTTTGTTTACAAACTGTTGGCCAACGAATGTTTTCTTATCGGAGAAAACCAAATTCGGCAGTTCGCCACTTTCGGCCAAGCGAAGCAACTCTTTAGCTCTTTTGAGTCTTTATTTACTTTATTTCAATGCTTTATCCCGAGCTTATTTTTCAGTATTTGCCGAATGGAATATTGCGATATGTACAGCTCACGCGGGTTTCGATAAAGTCGCTTCTTTACTTTTCGAACCATTTCTGCTGATGTTTCTGTTTCCACTTCCTTGATGTCGGGCTACGCTACCAGTATCACACTAACGAGCGATGGTACGAGACACAAACGATTTATTCACATTTAAATGTTGGAGTTCTCTAACGATAGCCACTTTTGGTTTTCCAGCCAAATATAAAGAAATCACACTATCGCACTTGAATTCAATCACGAATAACATTATTTCTGGAAAATTCTCACCAAAATGCTTTTGTACGCTTGTAAACGATATAATGAGTTGCCACTGGGAAAGTTTTAACAGCTGTCGGACAAGTGGCTTAAAAATGACAGCAGTCTGAAGTTGATTGCAGTTTTTTTCATCTCACCCCGTATATCTATAAGGTAGATTATTTTCATTGAAATTGTTGACCTTTTGTGGGGTAGTGGACAAATGTTGTCCATTTCCGACCTCAATCTAAGTTTGACAACAATTTTGTGATGTATCAAGTTTGGATCAAATCAGATACTCCTTTCGAGAGTTACCATGTGCATCAGCCAGAGAGACAGACGGACGAACCACCCTAGATCGAATCCAAATGACCGGAAATTGATTTGGTCCAAGGAGACCTAGGGTTTAATACCGTTATTTCCATGAGGAAATTGAATCGTATCAAATGATATATACCCTCTCTAGCCATAAGGCTGACGGTATCTAGGGAACTCTATATGATCTATGTCAAGTTTTATTCATTTGTTTTGAAAATTGCAAAATATATCTTGACGTAAGAATGAACCGACGGATTATATGTACTTGATAGGATCTCCGATGAATAATTGAAAGTTTTACAAAAGAAATGACAAAGTTTAATTCGTATTATGGAGATATAAATACATAGATTTAATATTATTATTAATTTTTTTGAACATTCTGTTCAATTGCTTGTCTTTTGATACTTATAAGATGGAAGAGAAACATATATGATATAATTAATTTTGTAATCCTCTAAAAAATAAATATAAAAGCATCTAATTCGGCCGAATGTTCCAAATGGGATATCCCCAAGCTTTTATTAACATCTCACGAATAAATCGAAAATGCACATTTTATTATAACATTCAGTCTACAATAAAAGCAACCAGGTATTTCTCTAATCCATACCACTTAAACAAACATCAAATCTTTAATATCAAAATCAATAACTTTTTTATATTTCTTTCAAAATGTAAGTCTTGCTTTCAATTCAACAAATAAATGACTTTGAAAGAACCACCTTTTTTGTTGGTGTAACATTTACGTCATTTATTGTTGCACATTACCTTTAATATGAAATTCCACTTTTACCATTGATTTGCCAAAAACATTTCTTCAACAGCGTCAATTTTGAACAGCGCCATTAACTCTCTTCCTCCTTGGCGACACGGAGGAAAATCTTTCCAATTTCCAATCAAATGTGTTGAAAGCAAACATGCCGCGTGATTGCTACCTGGCATTGTTCAAATATCCACAAGGATAACACGGAGTGTAATTATGCTGTGATTGTTCTGATTTGTCGAATACAGAATCATCGGCCAGCAGTTGGTCGGTCAGCACTCGGCAGAAGAGGGATGGGAAGGGACTGTTACCTATAACAATGGAGTACCTGCCATTTGAGTGGTTTTCTAATACCAGCATTTTGTTGTTCTTTCATTACTTACAGAGCCATAATGAGCGGTCAACGCTGCCCCAATGACAATCAAATCAGAGATCAAATTGTAATTGTCACAGGCGCCAATACGGGAATAGGTTTCGAAATTGCCAAAGCATTGGCTGGTCGCGGAGGCCACGTCATATTGGCATGTCGCAACATGGAAGCTGCTGAAAAGGCAGCTGCAATTATAAAACGTGAACTTAGCTGTCAGGTATTGAAGGATACACAAAAGACTGCTGCAACAAATGACAGCACAAAGGACCTGCCGACGTCGTCGTCGTCATCGTCATCATCCAGCGTTAATAATGACACCGGTGCTACTAATGGTAATGGAAACGATGCCGATACGGATGGTGGTAATATGTTCTTTGTCGAAGCTCGTTACTTAGATTTACGTTCCTTTGACAATGTCCAACGGTTCGCACGCAAAATAATGGCCGAATTCGAACGCATCGATATACTCATCAACAATGCCGGCATCATTTTCGATCCGGTAAAAACCAATACCACAGACGGTTTCGAACAGCATCTACAAGTCAATTATATGGCTCCGTTTTTACTGTCACATTTGCTGCTGCCGCACCTGAAGAAATCTCCAAATGGACGCATAATAAATGTATCGGCACATTCCCATGTCTCGGCCAAAATGGATTTTGATGATCCATTGAATGTGGGAACATGGGCGACTAAATTCCATGCACGTGATGCCTTCTCCCATTCCAAGTTGGCCGTGCTGTTGGCAACACGATGGATGGCAAAGGAATTGAAAGGTAAGTGTGTGTAAGTAAGTGTTTGTTGAGCATGCTGTTTTCTTTTGATGTTTCGAATATTTAAATGCACACTGTGGTGTAACGGAGGAATTCTCAGTGTTGGCAAGTTATTGGGTCTCAAAATTGAAAATGTTGATTGTGACGAGATAAAAAATTTAAAAAAGTTATGGTAGTGTTATGATCCATTGCTGTAGATCAGTATTTCATATACAGAAATGAAAATTGACTGTTCAATAGGCATGTCAGAAATCTTGCTTCAATGCAGGAAAAGAAGTCGCTTTTGCGATTAGTGGCGATTAATATCAGTAGAAACTCATGGCCAATAATCAGATTAATTTCTGTAATAAGCAATTGGGCTAGCCATATTTGAATATGTAACATTTGACCCTTATTAATTAAAAGAAATGCAACAAGATTTTGGAGGTTAAAATTTTCGTTTAGGGTTTATAGGTCAAGTTTCCGCGTTATGGCATCATGAACTTTTCCAAAATTATATGCTTTTATTCAAAATGAATGAAGAATATAAAATGTATAAACCATTTTTTCCATATAACTCAATTCAAACGCCATTCAAAGACTTTGCCACGAAATACTGACATCAACAAGTAATTCTCCAGCTTAATTGTGTCACAGTGTTACAAAATTCAAAGAAAAAAACTTTTTCGTACGTCTTGAAATCTGAAATCGAATAAGACCAAATGCCCGAGTTTATCTGCTTTACCATAATACTGTCTAAATGGGCTTTCGCCTCCCTATACCCCTTAAATAACCGAACTTCCCGGTATTAACAACATTTCTCAACGCACGATAGAATTTGAAATTGTAAAAAATAAAACAAAAAATTAAATTTTAATCAAAAAAAAAATTTTTTATTCGAAAGATCAATACGTGACATTAACATTTGAATATGATTTCGGGTATATGGGCACCGCTGCTGTTTTTGACGAAGTGCATTCCGGACGTCCAATTTTTGGCCGTATGTCACGTATTACACGAACAATGATGGCCTACAAGGCATCAATTGTTGCTGGTTTATCAGCATAAACCAGTGAATTCTCGTATCCCCACAGGAAATAATCGAGAGGCATTGACAGGTCCACTTCTCGAAATCAAGTCATCGCCAAATTTTGATTTCAAGTCCTGTTGAAACCACATCTCCTCCGGATCAATGTCATCCATATTTTTAAACAAAAATTCATTGATCATGGTGCGGTAACGATCTCCATTGGCCTTATTTCTTCATTTTTGAAGAAATAAGGTCCGATGATGCCACCAGCGTGAAAACCGCATCATACGGTGCATTTTTCTGGATGTAATGGAGTTTGTAGGGTCTCTTGTGGATTGGTCTCACTCCATATGCGGCAATTTTGCTTATTAACAAACCCGTTAAGCCAAAAATGCGCCCCATCGCTGAACACAATTTTGTGTCTCGACGACTGATTTTCAAAGTAAATTTGGATAATCTCGTAGCGTTGTTCAAGCGTGAGTCTATTCACGTTGATTTGTCGGAGTATACTGAAACAAATAAAAAAAAATCATCAAAAATTAATTTTTTGTGTTACTTTTTACAATTTAAAGTTCTATCTGCTTAAAAAACACCCTTTATACAAAGTCAAACGCCATAATTTTTACATATTTATACCCTCCACCATAGTATGGAGGGTATATTAAGTTTGTCATTCCGTTTGTACCACCTCGAAATATACATTTTAGACCCCACAAAGTATATATATTCTTGATCAGCATAAAATTCTATGTCGACTTAGCGATGTCCGTCCGTCTGTCCGTCTATCCGTCTGTGGAAATCTCTTTAGCTTCCGAACGAATTGAAGTAGGTTGATAAAATTTAACTCAAATGTATATTAAGACTTTTGGTATTAAAAATGGGCCATGTAGGTCCACGTTTTGGTATAGCCCCCAAATAACGGTACCTCCCGATATTCAGTATTTTTTTATGATTTTTGCAATATTATTCATCGGAATTTTTTCAAATTTGGTATTTGAAATTTGAAATGAATACTACAGCCTATGACAGAAAATTGTCTGTGCTGGTTCACGTCTTCGTATAAATCCCATATAACGGTATCTCCCAACATTCATTATTTTGATGATTTTAGCAACATTATTCACCGATTTTTTTTTAAGTTTCGCATTTGAATATTGTAATGGCTTATGACAAAAGTTACCTATGCATCCACGTCATCGTATAGACCCTAATATAACGGCTACTTTCGGTATTTATTTATTTTTTTGAAAATTGTCAAATTCGTTCCAAAATGTGGAGGGTATTCAAAGTTCGGCTTGGCTTTTTTACTTCTTTTATTTAACATGGACTGAGCGTTATTTATCGCAACAAAATTAAATTAATAAAATGTAATTATTAATTTTACCGTTGTAAAGGGGCTCTAGTATCCATTGTGAACTTTAAATTCCAAAATTTGAAACAGTTCCGATGAACAATGTCGCTAGAATCACCAAAATACCGAATATCGGGAGGTACCATTATATGGGGGGCTATACGAAGATGTGGACCTGCACAGACAATTTTCTATCTTAGGCTGTAGTATCCGTTACAAACTTAAAATACCAAATTTGAAATAATTCTGACGAATAATGTAGGTAGAATTATCAAAATACCGAATATCGAGAATTCCGCTATATGGGGACTAACCATACGAAGACGTGGACAAACACAGACAATGTTCTGTTTTAGGCTGTAGTATCCATTACAAACTTCAAATACTAAATTCCAAACAATTCCGGTGGAAATTTTCGCTTAGATCACCAAAACACCAAAAATAGGAAGGTACCATTATATGGGGGCTATATCAAAACATGGACCTACATTGTCCATTTTCAATACCAAAAGTCCTGCGGACAAAATATACATTTGAGTAAAATTTTATCAACCTACTTCATTTTGTTCGGAAGCTAGAGTGACGGACAGACGGACATCGCTAAATCGACATAGAATTTTATGCGGATCAAAAATATATATACTTTGTTGGGGGTTCCAAAATGTATAGTTGGAGGTAACGGAATGACAAACTTAATATACCCTGCATACTATGGTGGAGTGTGTAGAAACTTATCATCATATATTGAAGTATTTCCAATAGAGGAAGATTTCAACCCACTGTAGTTACGATACTTAGCAAACTTTTGGCATATCACCTTAAAATACTGCTTGCTGTACAGCAAAAAGCCACTTTATTTTTTGTTTTTTTTTGTTGTTCACCCAAAATGTGCCATCACTTTAACCATTGTTTATGCAAATTAATGTTGTGTCTCATTAAATATTCGAAACACAAAAGAAATGAGATTGAATTATAAAATTTAGCAAATTTGAACATATTCAAATGTGTATGGCGTACTGACGTTCTCTTCTATTATTTGCCATTGCCATGCACCCCCCCCCCCCCCCCCATCCGGCTTTGCGTCTGGTTGACTGACTGCCTTGGCTCATTTGCAGACACTTCCATTACCGTGAATTGCTGTACACCCGGTCTAGTACGTGGTACTTCACACCTTCGCAGGTAAGTTGTTGGTTGCTTTGTTGTTGTTGTTTTTGTTTTATATTTTCCATATCCTGTATACACTGTTTAACATAAAAGGACATTTGTACTGTTGCTGCTGTCCTAGTCTTGTTTTTGTTGTCGTTGTTGTCGGTTTTGTAAAAAATGACTGCATTCACTTTCTATTTGTCCTTCATTTGAATTTCATTTCACTTCATGTAGTTCGGTGGGTGGTGGAAGGGGCGGTTGGACTTATAAACGTATATACAATACATACGTATATAAGGTGTGTCTGTGTGTGGTGCTGAGGACATATATTTTCAAATGAGTATTTTTCGGTTTGGTTTCTTTTTGCTTTAGTCTTTTGGGTGTTTTTTTTTTTGTGTCGTGGTTAAGCATTTGCCGTGGTCCAAAAACCACACAATCCTTTGATGGTATTCCGCCACTTGTACTTGTTTTTGTGTGTGTGTTTTTGCAATTTTTGCACCAAAACATGCTGTAGTTTATTTTCATTGTAAATCGCATTGGATTTTATAAATATCAGGCAATTGCTTGAATTTTTAGTGAAATTTAAATGTTATTGTAATGTTTCCGAGCGTGTTGTGCTTTAGAATAGTTGATTTGATTTCGTTTTTCTGTAAATTTATATTTTTGCATGCCTAACGAAGTGTAACAATAAAAGTTGATTTGGCCAAAAAAAAAAAAAAAAACAATTGGCCTTTAAATGGGAGGCACAATGAAATGAAAATTAAGTGCATGTATACAAATTGCTTTATATTTCGCAAATATACTAAAGGAGATTTCTTAAAATGAAATATTAAATTTACTTGGGGTTTACTCCTGGGGATTAATAATTTTCTTTCGGTTTCGGTTGTACACTTTGAATTTAGAATGAGAAAACATATAGACTTGGATATGAAAGCTCTTAGCTGTGATGAAATTGTTACACAAATGATTATTAATAAAAATTATTGAAATAACAAGTAAAAAAGCAGTAAGTTCGGCCGGACCGAACTTTGAATACCCTCCACCATTTGGAACGAATTAGAAAATTTTCAAAAAATAAAATCCATTAAAAATTCTGTTAAAATCTTTAAAATATCTAATATTGGAAGGTGCCGATATATGGGGGGATATTCGATATTGTGGACCAATATAGACAATCACCTTCCAGGGGTTAAAGTGCTCACAAAGAACTCCCTGTGTGGATTTTCAGACAATACGATTTGAAAATGTGGCTAAAATCATCAAAATAACGAATATCGGGGGTACCGTTATATGGGGGATATACGATATCGTGGACCTATATAGATAATTCTCTGCCGAGATATAAAGTACCCACAAGGAACTCCTCGTGTGGAATTTCAGTCAATTCCATTGAAAAATGTGATTAAAATCATCAATATACCGAATATAGGGGGTACCGTTATATGGGGGCTATACGATATCGTGGATCTATATAGATAATTCACTTCCGAGGTATAAAGTACCCACAAGGGACTTCTTGTGTGGACTATCAGAAAATTCCGTTGAAAAATGTGGCTTAAATCAAAAAAATACCGAATATCGGGGGTACCGTTATATGGGGGCTATACGATATCGTGGATCTATATAGATAATTCTCTTCCAAGGCATAAAGTACCTACAAGGAACTCCTTGTGTGGATTTTCAGACAATTCCGTTGAAAATTGTGGGTAAAATCATCAAAATACCGAATATTGGAGGGGTACCGTTACATGGGGGCTATACGATATCGTGGACCTATATGGACAATTCTCTGCCGAGGTATAAAGTACCCACAAGGAACTCCTTGTGTGGATTTTCAGACAATTCCGTTGAAAAATGTGGGTAAAATCATCAAAATACCGAATATCGGGGGGTACCGTTATATGGGGGCTATACGATATCGTGGACCGATATAACCCATCTTCGAACTTGACCTGCCTGCAGACAAAAGAGGGATCTGTGCAAAATTTTAGCTTCCTATCTTAATTCGTTTAGACTATAGCGTGATTACAACAGACGGACGGACATGGCTAAATCGTCTTAGAATTTTACGCTGATCAAGAATATAATGTATATATATCTAAAATGATTATTTCGATGAGTTACAAACGGAATGACGAACTTAATATACCCTCCATACTATGTATGGTGGTGGGTATAAAAATATTTATCTGAAGTAAGAATAGGAACCTAAGTCAGTTTGAAACATATCACATATATATCTATTGGAGAACATATATTGAGGGTTTAAAGTTGCATATGGTCATTCATATCTGGCAATAATATGCCAAACAATTGTAGTTGTTGAAAGTGCAAATATAAGTCAGAAAATGTTGCATCGTCTATATACCTAGTAAGGGAAAGCATTTCCACAAAGCACAATTTTTTTCGGGCCATTATTGTCTTCTAATAAATAAAATTGACCACCACCACCACCAGCTCTATCCCTTCACACAATATATAATTTAGTACCACTAAGTACCTTTCGAAGAATTGTAGTACGCATTTTCAAAACCACCTTCATATCTCAATTCTAGATACCAACAGAGACCTCAATGTCAAATTTGAGTATTCCAGCTCTATTCCTTCACCCAATACCTAACTTAGTACCACATAGTACTTTTCGAACAGATATAGTACGCATTTTCAAAACCGCCAACCATTTTAAATTCCATATTTCAGAGGATTCCAGCTCTATGCTATCTTCTTGTACCAAATTTAGTACCATTTTGTACTTTTCTTACAAATATAGGACACATTTTCTCAATACAATTTCAAATTTACTTCACCTTCATCCAATACTAAATATAATAGTATTCAGTACTTTTTCTATAATTATATTACACATTTCTGAAACCACCTTTCCCTCATTATCTCAATTCCAGATCCCAACAGGAACCTCAATATCTAATTTGAGGATTCCAGTCCTTTCCCTTCTTCCAATACTAAATTTAATACTATTAAGTACTTTTCGTACGATTATAGTACCCAATTCCAAAAACCAACTCCCTACATAAATTCCAGATACCAAGAGAGACCTCTGTATCGAAATTGAGGATTCCAGAGTTATTTGATCTTCCAATACCAAATGTAGTACCATTTCGTACTTTTCCTACAAATATGGTACATATTTCCAAACCACCGCCAAATCTCAAACACAGATACCATCAGTAATCTTAATATCAAATTTCCTTCACCCAATACAAAATACAATAGCATTCAGTACCTATTGTACAATTATGACATACTTTTCCGAAAGGCTACACATGAACTGCGATCCCAATATCAAATTTTAGATTTCAACAAAATCTTGTCATCCAATTCCAAATTCTACCAAATATTGCACTATTTTGTACTTGCCGCTCACATGTGTTATAAATTTAGTAGCGTTTAGTACTGCATCCAACTTCAGACTGCTGTCATTTCTAAGCCACTCGTCCGACAGCTGTTAAAATTATTCCAGTGACAGCTCATTACATTGTTAACAAGCGTACAAAAGCATTTTTGTGAAAATTTTTCAGAAAAAAAGCTATTCGTGTTGGAATTCAAGCGTGAGAGTGTGATTTCTTTATATTTGGCTGGAAAACAACAATCGGCTATCGTTAGAGCACTCTAGCATTTACATGTGAATAAATCTTTTGTGTCTCGTGCCATCGCTCGTTACCGTGATACTGGTAGCATAGCCCGACGTAGTAGACGGAAGAAAACAGCATCATCAGCAGAAATGGCTCGAAGTAAAGAAGCGTCTCGAAAGTAAAGAAGCGACTTGATAGAAACCCGCGTCACAGTGGCAGAAAAATGGCTCGTGAGCTGAACACATCGCAATGTTCCATTCGCCAAATATTGAAAAATGAGCGAGGGGTAAAGCCATTGAAATTCCAAAAAGTGCAAGAACTTACACCGCCACAGAAAGAAAATAGACTCAAAAGAGCTGAAGAGTTGCTTCGCTTGGCCGAAAGTGGTGAACTGCCGAATTTGATTTTCTCCGATGAGAAAACATTCGTTGTCCAGCAATTTGTAAACACACAAAATGATCGTGTTTACTTGGCAAAGAGGTCAGCTGATATTGTGCACCTTCGGTCCGCCACCACTCAACTCAAGCGCCGGCCATGGTGATCGTGTGGACAGCCATAACAGCCGATGGTCGCTATCCGCTCGTATTAATCGACCGTGGAATCAGAATAAATACCGAACATTTTCGCGAAAATATTCTGGAGAGTGTATTGAAGCCTTGGGCACGCAAACATTTTGGCCGCAGACCTTAGACATTCCAACAGAACTCAACACCATTTGCTCTCAGCACGTGCCTCCCAAGAATGGTTGTAAAATGAGTTTCCCCGCTTCATTTCCATCGCGCAATGGACATCAAAATCTCCGTATACCAATCCGTTGGACTATTGTGTCTGGAGTATTTTGGAAAGCAAGGTCAAGCAATCGCTTCCCCGGGAATGGGCCAAAATACCGCAGAGCAACATTCGGGCAGCGTGTGACGGTTTCATTGGCCGTTTGAAGGCCATAATTCGTGCCAAAAGGTGACCAATTCGAACAAATCTAAACTTATTCTAAAATGTTATGCTAGTTCCGACATTTTTGCTTTCATTCAATAAAATGTAAAAATTATGGCGTTAGACTTTGTTGCAATTTTTTTTATCTCACCCTGTATATTCACTCCAGGTCTAAAATTTTGAAAATATTAGAATATCAAAAAAAAAAAAAATATATATATATATATATATTTTTTTTTTTGTGATATTAAAAAATGTCATAGATGTACGCAGAATGTTAAGTCAATTTCTCTATAACCTTTAAATTTAATACAAGGGGAAAATGAGAACAGAACGGATAAACGGACAGACAGGGGCCAATTGATTCTACATGCCTAGCCAATATTTATAGTAACAAACTTAAACTTTATTTATTGACGGTGTATGGCGTAAGGAAGACAATTAGTATAAAATTTAAGACCATATACCTCAAGACAATATATGCAAAAATACTGCTAAAAGTTTTTTTTT